TGGGGGGAGTGGAGCTGAGGTAGGTGATAAATTGAGGACAAAAAGGCCTTTCATTAGGTAAAGGGATTAAAGGACAACTTCCCCAAATTTATCTTATACCCCCCAAAGGTATAAGATAAGTGTCTACAATACAAAAGTGCCCCATAGGCAACCAGTAGGGGCTCCACAGGCCCTTTCACCACCTCCAAATCAATTCAATTGACCTGGCTGTGGGAGGGGGTGGGGTGGGGAGGAACTGCATAGATTTCCTGAGGGAGTGTTCCAGGAGCAATCTGATAGTGGCTAGTGGCTCCATTCTGAAACATTAATCCAGATAGTATTTGAGGATATCTTTTCTTTCTTATTGATTTCTAAAAACGTTACTTGGAATTGTCTTGGAGGCAGCTCATGTAGTCCAATCAGTCAGTTTCTAGAAAATGGTAATCACAAAAGAAGTACTTGGTGATTTGACTTGAAATCACAATTTTAGTCAGAACTTATGTTTGAGGATACTGAGGCAAAGTCATGGTTAGTCATAGTGCTAGTTAAGAGTAGAGCCGGGACTTGAATGCAGGTTTATTGTCTTTTTTGTTTTAAATTGGGTCTTCCTATCTCAAGTAGGCTGAAAGTGCACAGACCACTCAAGGGCCAATGCCATCATTGATTTGCACAAGAGCTCGGATCTACTTGTTTTCAGAGATAGGTCTGTTTGTTCCTTTTTAGGAAACTCTCTCTCCACTCCCCCCACCTCTTCCACCAGGCATAATGGTGCCAGACAGTGCAGTTACACCACAGACATAGTCTACTGAAGCTCAGAACTCCCAAATCCAATGATCTACCACCCTCTGCCTACCCAGTAGCTTGCCACTTCCATCCCTTCTTAGTGTCTTTACAACTTTTGTTCATGATCTATTTTCCTCCCTGTCTATAGTCCACGTAAATCCTTCTCCACTCTATATTCCTTAACACTTAGCTAAGTCTAATTAGCTAAGATCATATGAAATTCTGTATTACTTTTTTCCCTTGGCATTTATGTATCCATTTCCAACTAGATTATAATGTGCTTGTCTATGTTCTCTAGTTCTCTAGATAGCACTTAATGTTTGCAAAGCACTTTACCTGTTATCACACACAACAACCCATTGTTAGGTAGGTGATATTATTGTGCCTCATAGTTCCCACAGGTGAGGAAACTGAGACAGAGAGTTTTAATGAACTTATCCAGGGCCAAGTTGAGTGTCTTGAATCAGAATTTAAACTCTGAAATTCCTGACTCCAAGTTCCAATTCTATCCACTGTTTCTACCTGGCTTATATATTCAACTGTTCTTTTCTCAACTACCATAGATTATGGATTCTCTATCACAGGGAGTAAATGATTTGAAAAACTGAAAAACTTAAATTTGAATAAATTTTGAATAAACATTTACTAAGTCTCTACCATGTGCCAGGCACTGTGCTAAAAGCTGAGAATACAAAAGAAGGCAAAAGACAGTCCTTGACCTCAAGGACCTTACAATGTAAAGGAGGAGACATGCAAACAAATATATACAGAGCAAGCTATACACAGGATGAACAGGAAATAACAGAGAAGGCACTGGGAGTAAGACAGATTGAGAAAACCTTCCAATAAAGAATGGGATTTTAGTTGAAACTTAAAAGAAGCCAGGAGAGTGGGTAGTAGGAACGGAAGAGGGAGAGCATTCCAGGCATCAGAGGCAGCCTGAGAAAATGCCCAGAGCCAAGTGATAGACTGTCTAGTTCGTGGAGCAGCCAGCACAAAAAGCATTTCTTAATCACTTATTACACGCAAAGCTCTGTGCTAAGCATAAGACAGTCCCTGCTCTCAAGAAGCTCAATTCTAATAGGGTTAGAAGACGACACATGTAAAGCCATACTTCCTACTTGGTTCCCCCACAATGCCTAGCATCCTATTTTTCACATCCTAAGTGTTTAAAATATGCTCACTAATTGGAATGATCTTGATTTGTTCATCTTTTTCCCAAGAGCCAACATATTTCCCAGGTAGGTATGGTTTTGTTCACCCCCTGTAACATCTAATAAAATACTCCGGTGGCCTTGAAAGCCCTTTCACAATCCCTCTCCAACATACAGGCAAATTTCACATTATTTCCCTTAGATCCTAATACTTTCTGGGTCAAGTTTGTTCCCTACACATAACACTCGACCTCTCGGCCTTTGTACAAACTATCCCCTAGGTCTGGAATGGTTTCCCTTCTGTAATGCCTAGGGTTCCTAAAAGGCCTCAGATCAAGCACATGCTCCAAAAGCCCTTTCTGGACATTCTTACCTTTCCAAGCTCTATAACTTTGTATATATTTTGAATTTATTTTTCTGTGTACATAATACTTGCTTCTAAGCCAGGAGAGGGGAACCTACAGCCTCAAGGCCACATGTGGACCTCTAGGTCCCTGGGTTTGGCCTTTTGACTGAGTTCAAGTTTTACAGAACAAATCCTTTTATTAAGGAGATTTGTTCTGAGAAGTTTGGATTCAGTCAAAGAGCCACACTTGAGGACCTAGAGGGCCACATGTGACCTCTAGGCCACAGGTTCCCTACCCCACATCTAAGCCAGTTTTATCATTAGAATTTAGTAAAGTATAAGCACCTTGAGGGCTCGCACTAGCTTTTTGTTGTTGTTGTTTTTGGCCCCAAAAGTCTAGAACAGTGCCTGACACACCTCTCAATACTTGTTAAATTCAATTGATAATGGGGATTAGGTAGTGTGAGGACAGGTCCCATTCCTCTAAGTCATTAAATGAAATATAATTTCCTCTTTTTTGCGTTCAGGTTTGTCCTTTCCTCCTTAGCTCTGAGTGCTATTACTCAACTCTGAAAAATACTATTTGTGACAATTTAGCTCGAAAAGAAATCTCTCTGCCCAGACCAAAATACTCCTAGAATGAGTATGGCTACTGAATAGCAGCTTCTGTGTATAACCCTCAGGTACCAGCAATCTGTTAGGATTATACATTTAACACTGAAAGGGGACCGACCAGCCCTCTACTTTTACAAACGAGAAAATTGAGTCCTGAAGGAACTGTGCAAAGTCAAAATTTGAACCCAAGCTCTCAGGCTCCAAATTCAGCTCTCTTTCCATTGTACCACAATACTGCCAGAGAAGCAGTTTGGCAGCTGAGCAAAGTCATCTTAAACAGCAAGCAATCACCACTTTAGCTCATATTTGGGTAGAAAAGCATCCATAAGGGATCTGACTCTTGAGAAAAATAACTTGACCATTATCTCTTTCAACAACAAACACATAAGCTCTTTTGTCACTACAGAACACCAGAGCTGTTATTTTTGTAACTAGAATGACATTTTCTGATGGCTTGGTGGGGTCCAAGATTAGAGATTGTTCTCACGCTATGGCATAAGTTCATTGACCAATCACTGTTCAAACAGCTTGAGATAGTATTCATCTCAGCTGAGCATCTCCACTTCCTTGTATTCTTTAAATAAAAGAGAAATACTTTGTAGACATTCTATATTTAAGATGGATTACAACTCAATGTAGCATACAGAAATAAAAATGTGTTATGTACTGGGGTGCTAGAAATGGGGGAAGAGCTGGGAAGTAAGAAGGTATACACATATCTTCTTATACCTTCATATAAGCCTTGATCAGAAACCTGCCTGAAAGGGAATAAAAATATTTAATCCTGTCAGTCAAACTGGTGAGAGAGGTAACAGGCTTCTGGCTATTTATAGACCTTAATGTTAGCATGTAGTGGTACCTATATTGTGCCCTTGGCTGAGATCATTTGAGAAGACATGCAAACTGGGCAAGTAAAAGTCACTAAGAGAATCAGATATTTTTTTTTTACTATAATCTTTTTATGTTAGTCTCTTAAGGAATTGTATATGCCAAGACAAATCCCCCTACCCCACCCCACCCCACGTACAATCCACTCAACCCCCTCCCTCAGGCTTTAGTCATATGAATATGAAGGTGAAATGAGCTCCCCAGGGCCCCAGTTTAGACAATAACAAGGACAACAGATAGGAAGTAATAACAATGATCAAAGCCAGAGAATAGGTGAGAGAAGTTTATCTGAATTGGCTGTGGGGGTAAGGATTGTTTCTGGCCAGGAATTTCCATTTCTCTGAGGCCAAAAGAAATCACTCGGTGGGGTGCCTGGAATGTGAGGATAATCCAGATAAACTAGTTCCTGGGCACCAGAATACAATAAGTTTTAAAACTGATGTAAAGAGAGAAGCTGACATGCAAATATTATAATCACAACATAGCTTTTCCTAGGAAGAGAGTTAAATACTCTAATTGTTCCTGAAAGCAAAGGAGACATAGGAACTTCCCCAGGAAAAAAGGGGTAAATTGCTATTATCCAACTTCCCAAAGCTTCCCTAGAAAGTGTTGCCTAGAAACTGGATTTAGGTGCTATAGACCACTCCAGAGATGATGCCACACACCCATTGGCCTGCGATAAAGCACTTTCAGGGAGACCCAGGATCAGTGGGATCTCCAGTTTCAGAAAATTCTTTTTATCTGTTCTTCCCAATCTCCATTTTCAAGTCACTGCTGCTTCTCTGAGAAAGTCTGATACAGTCTCTCCTCTGAAAGAAGAGTTGGGTAGGTGCACTCATTAGTACAGACAGCAGAATTACCCAAAGCTACTGCCGCAGTCGTGATGTTTCTTACGCGCCCACTAAGACCTACCACCACCTCACACGGAGGTTATAGGCACAAAGATAAACACTGATGGAATCATTCATCTTTGGCAGCGTTTGGTCAAGTTTTAGTGGCTGCTTGGCTTTAATGAATGACAATATAATTTGTGCATCCCTGCTCTCATTCCTCTGTCTTAACCAGCGGGGAAGCGGCATAGGTGAATTTTAGTTGCTTTACCAATTGTTCCAAGGAGGATAGAGAATTCTTTAGTTGCTATATGATTCTACAAGGGACAAGAGAAGAGTGGGGGAGAAATAATCTATAGCCCCATTTAGCTCCCACAGCAAGAAAGGAAAACCAGTTAGACTCACCTACAATGATGCCGCAAGCACTGATCAACCCAATCTCTTTCTTCAGTGCTACTCCACCCCCTCCAGAACCAGCATCTCGACCAGGATCAGACTCGCTCCCGCCTGTGGGGCTCTTTTCAACGTTTCGGTGCCTGGCCTTTTCTTCCATCTTTTTTCAGAAAAAAAAAATCAACCACTGAAATTTCCTTCCCCTCTGCCTACCTATCTATTTTTATTTCTTCCTAAGCCTTTCAAATGAATATGTCCTCTTCCTAAAATAATGACCCTTTGTCCTGGCCCTTTAAAAAAGGCACATGCAGATAAAAAAGAAAATCTCAAATCTATATTAGTATAATTAAGACACTTTCCCGTCGCTCTAGATTGCCACTAAAGAAAGTGGTTTAAAAAGGTGAAATAGACATGTGGACAAAAATAGAACTGTACCAGCTACTCCCTCTAGCACTCACAGGAGTGAGGATGTGGATTTCCCGAACCAGGGCTGAATTCTGCTCAATTTACACAGGCAGCTGCTTCATGCAGATGCACCACGACAGTTTGGATTTCCCTTTAGCTCTCTCCTCAAACCGATATCCAAACTGGCTTTTAGCTCAGCTCGGTTCTTTTTTTTTTTTTTTCTATGAGGGTTAGAGTATCTTTTTCATTGAGTCTTGGAAAAAAATAGGCAATCCTCAGGTACTTTCTTCTCTTTTAGAAAAACAAACTGCTGACAGCCGGTTTGCTCTAGATTTTGTTCCACAGGGTGTGGATTTTCCTTTCCCTTCCTCTCTCCTCCCCCTTCCCTTCTCCTGCCTTCAGATTTTCCCCCGTGTTCTCATTTATTCTTATAGGCTAGTCTCTTTTCTTCCTGTCCTTGGTTTTGTTTTGATTTGTTTTGTTTTCCTTTTTCTATCTGTCTTATAGCTCTGAGTTATGCATCTCTCTCCGCAGCCTCAGGAAGAGTAGCTTCTTCACGTGTGAAAGACCTTAGCTCCAGCTTGGGGTTTTATTTCCTGAACTCACAGTAGGCTCCGCCTCCTCTCCATCCTCAGTAGCTTTCTCCTCCTTCTTCTTCGATTTCGGTATTAGCATATAAATCCGAAAGACCTCTAAGGAAAATGGAATGTGCTGTTTTCCTCTCCTCCATCTCCCTCCTTGTAACAAATTGGATATAAATCCCTCCCCTTGCAAATGTTCCGGGAGATTCATTAACTGGTATAGCATTACATGCCATGTAACATTTGTGAGCTTTATAAATGAGGGAACAGTTGTGGAGACCGTTTTAACTCCATCAGAAATAAAGTGGACTCGTGACAAAGTTTTGTAAGAATTAAGTATAGATCACTTGGGGGTACTAGGATCGAGGAACCCTGGCATGACTCCTCCAAGTAGCTGAAGGACTGGGAGACATGATTTGAGAATATGGAGGGAAAATAAAGGAAAAATTAGGATTAATAGAAAGGGAACACATTTCCTGTTGGAGCTTAAGAAATGGAGAGATCTGTGTGGCTTTGCTTTTTAAAGGATTGTTTTCTTTTAAAATCTAAGATGGGGGGAGGAAGGAGATGGCTGGCTCACAACTGGAAACTTTTACTAGTAGGACCAAATGAGACACTGAGAATGCGAGACTGGAAGACTGTGGGCTAGGTTTGGACTCTAGTCACAGGCAAAGAATGGAACAAATCTGACCCAATGGGACCTTTCACAACTCCATTTAAAAAAAAAATGTGACTGGACTGTTTGAATGGAGAAAAAGAAATATTTTACTGATCTTGAGACAAGGTCATGGCTAATAAATTACCTTCAGAATGACTTCAATTCCCCTGTCCTTCTTCATCCCCACCCCACCCTAGCCCCAGGTATTGCAGACTGCATTTTGTCCCTGAATTCTTTGTATTTCATTTGAGTGGTGAGGTCTGTGGTCTCTATTTACAGCTGTAGAGCATTTTATAAGTCCTGAAATACTTCTGAAGATTGCATTAAAGAAACATAAAGTTAATTTGAGCCTGCATACGTGTTCTATATACCGTACTTCTGTTTTATGGGGAGGAGAGGTCTAAATGCCCAAGTTCCTTCAGGTTACTGATTACAGAAATTTGCTCAAGAATAACTCCCTTTTTTGAAAAACAAAAAAAAACCAAAAACCATATATACACATATATAATTGAATCTTGAGACTATATAAGAAAGGTTTGAACTAGTCCCCTAAAAAAAAAAACAACAACCCTAAGATTGGGCTCATGGTAACTTTGCATAGGAGTAAAAGTCCTGACTGAGTTTTCAATCCTTAAAACTTCTTGTCCCTTCCTCCTTGATCACTCATTAAGAGGTTTCAAAGGTTATGGCTCTCAGACCCTTCCTCTACCTGGAATTTGATAGAGACAAAGCAAACTGAAAGCCTCAGCAAAAAGAGGTGAAAGGAGAAATTCAGCAAAAGAGAACAGGAGAGACAGGGAATGGAAAAAACAAATGTAGCAAGTAAACTTTCTGGGAGGGAAAGAGTTGTTGGAAATGAAACTTTTTGGGGGGGGCTGCCTTTGGCATTTGTTTGACATTAGGAAGCTTAAGGTTATAATTTAATACATCAAAGTATGACCTCCCAGTTAAAACATTTTTAGTTATTATTAATCAATATAGTGATTTCTGCTCAGATTCTGCCATTGAGAGACACAAAAAAAAGAGTATACTCTACTTTTTTAATTCTCGCAAATATGACTTTTTTTCTGTAACTTACATGTGACTAAAAGGATATAGACTGAACGTGAGCCTTACCAGATTAATACAAAACCTTCCCCATACAAGAAGACTAGATTTAGAAAGCTTAGCTTCTAGGTAGCAGAGCCCAGGGGTACAGTCATATGAGAAGTCCAGAACTATAGAGTTGCTACCGATTATTATTAGTGTTTCTTTAGTATCTTTTGTCTTTGTGTGTATATATGTATACATATACACAGACACACATATACATATACACACATATCTAGATCTAGATCTCTCTATCTCTATCTCTATCTAACCTCTAGCAAAGTACTGAGCTAAATACCTTATCATTTTTATCTCATTTGTTCCTCATGCCAACCCTGGAAGGCAGGAGCTATTGCTATCTCTATTTTACAGATGAGGAAATTGAGGTAAATGGAGGTTAAGTGACTTCTTAGTAAATGTCTGAGACTGTATTTGAACTCAGGGCTTTCAGATTCCAGCGTTCAGTGCACTCTGGCACCACCTAGCAGCCCTTGAAAAGCAACTTAGAAACAACTAGCTATTTCCCTTGCCTTACCTGATTCAAAATTTATCCAGAGCCTATTAGTTTGCCAGGCACTATGTTAGGCATTGGGAATAAAACAAAAATTAAATAGTTCCTAATATCAAGGAGAATCCATTCTACTGGTGTTCCCGACTTACTTTAAGTCTCAATTAAAATTCTACCTTGTACAGGAAGCTTTCCCTAATTCTCTTAATTCCAATTCTTCCCCACTTTTAGTTATTTTCCATTTATCATGTATACAGCTTGCTTTGTACATATCTGTTTGCATGTTGTTTCCCTCATTAGAGTGTAAGCTCTCTGAGGGCAGGAATTGTCTTTTGCCTTTTAACACAGTGCTTGACAAAAAGTAGGCACTTAATAAATGTTTATTAACTGGAATGGAATTGAAAGAGCATGTACATAGAGAAATAAATGCAATATGTAAACTAAAAATATAAAATAATCTGCTGAGTAAGAGAAGTGACAACCCAGGAGGTCAAGAAAGACAGACTTTTTGTAGGAGTTAGTGCTAGGGCTAAACATAAAGACTGTTAGGAACTGTAAGAGATGGAAATGAGGAGGGAGAGCTTTTCAAAAAGGTGTAGAAGGAGCATGTGACCTACAGGAAACAGGTCAATCAGGGCAGAAATGAGGGAATGTAAGGGGGAAATAGTGTGGAGTTCATCTGGAGAGATAAGTCGGAACCTGATTATGAAGGACTGTAAGTGTCCAACAGAGGTTTGTGTTGTATCCTAGAGGCAACAGGAAGCCATTGAAACTTCTTGATCAGGAGAGTTGACATAATCAGATCTGTGCTTTAGGCAATATAAGTTTGGCAGCTGTGTGGAGGATGGGTTGTAGAAAAAAGAAATTGGAATAGGGAGATGTATTAGGAGACTACCGAGATAGCTCAAGTGAGAGATGATGAGGGCCTGAACCCAGGTGATAGTAGTGTAAGTGGAGAAAAAGGGGACAGATGGGAGAGATGTTGCAGAAGGAGAATCAGTAATATTTTCAGCTGATTGGATATTCAGTGAATACAGGAAGCACAAGGATACTTTGTGAAATGAACATTCACTAGAATGAAGTATAGTGTAAAGAGCCCTGGTTTTGGAAATTGGAAGATCTAAGTTTGACTCTTCTCTCTGCTTTGGGCCTCAGTTTGCATAAAATGAGGGTACTGGACTGGATGACTGACCTCGTTGTTGTATGCCTGTGAAACCTGGACAGTAGGTGACTGAATCGTTTCCATTTGAATTGTCTTAGGAAGATTCTGAAGATCACCTGGCAGGATAAGACAACAGACACTGAGGTCCTTTCTCAAACTAAACTGCCAGNGACTGAATCGTTTCCATTTGAATTGTCTTAGGAAGATTCTGAAGATCACCTGGCAGGATAAAACAACAGACACTGAGGTCCTTTCTCAAACTAAACTGCCAAGCATTTAAACTCTATTGCAGAGGGCGCAACTCCAATGGGCTGGCCACATTATTCGAATGTAAAATGTACACTTGCCAAAAAGACTATTTTATGGAGAACTTACACAGGGCAAGCATTCGCATGGTAGTCAGAAGTGATACAAGGACACTCTCAAGGTCTCTCTTAAGAACTTTGGTTGTATGACTTGGAAGACACTGGCACAGGACCGCCCAGTATGGTGTGCCCACATCAGAGAAGGTGCTGTGCTCTATGAGCAAAGACGTGAAAATTTAGAGGATCCACCCCAAATGTTCACATGGACTATTTGTGCCCGACCTGTGGTAGAGCATTCCAAACTCATGTTGGTCTGATCAGCCACAATCAGACGCACTGAAACTTGACTCTAGCATAATGATATCATTTTGGTCCTCTTTGAGAATGAAGGACAACAATCCACCAGTTCTAAATGCTACGATCTTATCTCTGAAGGGGTCTGGGGAATTTGTTCTATTCTGTACCTAAGAATTCTTTAGCCCGTGCCAGAAATGTATTCCCCAACAACAACCATCCTAATGGGTTTTGAAACTCAAAAGGGACCTATCAATGGCAATTCCCATTTTCCACACCAATACCCCATTCTCCATTTTTAAATAGTGTTTATATATATATGTGTGTGTGTGTGTGTATTATATATAATAATATATATTACATGTGTGTATACACACATAGACATATACATGCACACATATATAATATTGAAATATTATATATATATATATATAAAATAAATCCTACAGTTGCCAACATCAGAGTGGCCTTTTAATATTGCTTACTTATGTTAGGAACAAATGGTTCCGCTTTAACCTGAGGAAGGTAGAAGAGAAGGTAAAATATCACAAATACTGATTCAGGGGCACTCTCTTCCAGAGAAAGGCTGAGAGTGGGTGACACCTACTGTTCAAATAGAGACAAGACATGGTGACACGTGCTATTTCAGTGAATCTAATTATTGTTGTTTAGTCATTTTCTTTTCAATCGTTTTTGGTCATATCCAACTCTTTGTGACCCCATTTGGAGTTTTCTTGGCAAAGATACTGCAGTGGTTTGCCATTTTCTTCTCCAGCTCATTTTACAGATGAGGAAACTGAGGCAAACAGGTTTAAGTGACTTGCCCAGGGTCATATTGCTAGTAACTGTCTGAGGATTTGAACTCAGGTCTTCCTGACTCTAGGCCTGGCCCTCTATTCAGTGCACCACCCAGTTGCCCATGGTTAATAATGGTTGTTATTAAAGCAAAGGATTGACTGTAGT